CACACACACACACACACACACACACACACACACACACACACACACACACACACAGTTGGACTCTGCAGAGACCAAGCGTGCAAGCTTTGAACCGACGGCCGGCGTTAATACGTCACGAAGTGAAGGGAAACTTCTCTGAAGCGACTCAACACAGTTACTGAGCACGTATCAGAGATTAATGATGGGAGAGCAATGCGGTGGTATTAGCTGTACGGCGCGGTTGAGTGTGAGGACTGAGGGGGTAGCTGGTAGTTGAAGGGGGGGGGGGCAGACTGGGAATGATAGACGTTTTGCTTTTTGCTTGTTTACCGGAGAGAAAGTCCTGGGCTGGAGCTGGCAGAGCGTACGGGTACCCTGACCCTGGAGGACAAATAGACCACATGACATCGTTAAACAGCAGCAGTGTGTGGGGTCATTTTATGGATACACAGTTTGTTGTATTTTCCTACACAATCCTTCAAAGAAAAGAAATATCTCTCTCTTTACCCACTGTTTCCTACACAACATTATTAGTTTGTGATTGATGTCAGCGCCGCGCAAACTCAGCAGCACGGCGAAGAAACGAGCAGCGGAGGAGAGAGGGGAGGACGGACGAAGGAGTGATGGAGGATGCACAGGAGTGGTGAATGAGACGAAGGAGGAGAGGAGGAGGGTGGGAGATAAGGAGGTAGGAAATAAGATGGAAATAAAGGAAACAGAGGGAGGAGAGGACATAAAGGAAGATTAATAATAACGACTGATTTAACCCATCATGCATGTAGCCACCGAGTGCATGTTTAAAACTGAGCTCCCTTTTGGAAACGAGTCGGTCTGGAAACATTAAACAGTCAGCTGGTGTTTTCAGTCCCACTCATGGAGCTACCGTTAGCTTCAGTGGCTAGCCAGCTAGCTGCAGTTGAATGTAGAGAACTGGTTTTGTTTACTTCTGTGTGAAATCAAAGACTTGTTTTGTGAAGCAACAGTAACTAAAGGAGGGCTCAGGGAAGTCTGGTCAACTATACAACTTTATGCCAAAATATATTTCAGTATTCAGCACATTCTTCAGGGTTAAAAATATTCATCAAACCATTTTTAAAGGATCACAAAACGGTAAACTTGTCCTCTGAATCATCGGTGGTTGGGTGATGAATTGATAACTCCAATGAGAGTCATTTCAGGCTGCCAGTGTGGTATTGATCAGTGCATTAAACGCCATCAGTCAAACAGCATCACATCCATCACATCAGCTGACAAACACATGAGATTTACCTGCACATCAAACATATTGATAGAATCAGAAAGTCATGGCGGTGATCCGTCTCCAAAAGTTTGAAAACAGACATTTATTTCTCCCAAAGAAGATGAAGAAGAAAAAAGAAAGTTTTGTGATCTCATCCAGGTCGGGATACACACTTGTAAAGTATGGAGAACAATATGTGTGTGTGTGTGTGTGTGTGTGTGTTCTCTGGGCTCACGGATGATCAGAGAGCAATAACTCAGAACGCGGGGCTCAGATGGATGGAGAGGGAGGGATTATACCCGGCAGAGAGGAGGAGACGGGGTGAAGGAGGAGGTGATGGATTGAAGATGGAGAGGGAAGTGAAGAGAGCTGCAGTGGAAAGAAAGAGTGGAGAGGAAACAGGGGGACAGAATGGGAGATTGGGGGGAGAGTAGGAAAAAAAGGTAAGATAAAAAGTGAGGAGATGAGGGATGACGCAAAAGGAGAAGAAAGTTTTTTGAGAGAGGAAAGAGAAATGAAAGGAGGACATATTGGAAAACAAGAGGAAGAAAGTAGAAGTGGAGAAGAAGGGAAGGAAGAATGAGAGAAGAGAAGAAAAGATCGAGCGAGATCGAAAACACAGAAATAAATAAAATATAAGTAAAAGCTGCAAAGTAACCAAGAAAGTTGGACGGCGACTTATTTGGCCTTCTGTGTGTAATAACCATCGATTTCACAGCGAGAGGAGCCGGCTGTAGAAGACACCGCGACGCCAAACATCTAAAAATTAATGACGGCATTAATAAAAGCTTTGGCCTGCGCGGCAGCCGCAGCACTGCGTATTGATTTATAACAGCGGAGCACCTCTGTGGACAAAGTCTCCTCAAACTGCAGTTAATTAAGACGTAAATCTGCTTTCATATAAAAATAATATTTTAAAAGATAACCGGTGTGTGTGTGTGTGTGTGTTGTGCCTTTGCTGAATTGAACGTCTCTTTTTGCTAATGTTAGCATTCTGGCTGTCGGAAAAAAAAAAAAAACCCTACAGGAACCCTAATTTAGACTTCTGGCACCTTAGGACAGGTGCATGCATATTAAATATGATGTCACCATTTTATTGCCGTTATGGGGGCCATCTTGGCTCAACTGGCTTTCCCGGAGATGACAAACTCAATGAACGCCTCCCTCTCTCTCTCTCTCTCTCTCTCTCTCTCTCTCTCTCTCTCTC